ATTTCAGGTATGCTCCCAACGCATGTCCTAAACAGCCGACGAATCAGTTCCTTAGGTCCGAATGGTCAGCAATTTATTATAAATGTGTTAATTCTCTTTGTCTGAGGTCATCCAGGAGCAGTTAACGGTAAAGCTGACTGGCGGATTGAGAGTCAGGCTGCAATGGCTCCTTAATCTGACCTCTATGGCACTCACATTCAGCTGGGATCCGAGCCGCCTCTCTTCTTTGCTGTTTTTTCTTTGTTGTGATGGTCTACAGTGTGTAGGCTTGCGCCCTCTCCCATCTCCAGTCTTCTTGACTTGGTCTTGACACCGAGCCTAAGTGCGGAAGGGGGAGAGAGTGTGGTAGATGCTGTGCAAGTATACTATCACTTAAAATTAAGTCTCGCGCAGGTCAACGTCCCTTTACCACCCTGTTGTGAAACATACTGTGGATATCGTCAAACTCTACGGTCGAACTGTCGTGAGGGTTAAGTTTACGCTTGGGCTTATGGTTAGATAGTTCAGTATATTTAGGGTAGTAGGCGATGCCTTTGAAGACCCTATTAAAAACAGTATACATAAAATATCCAATATAAAATATGTTACTATAAAATAGTGAGTAACATATACGTATGTGCAAGTCTTATCCATAGGTCTGGCCAATGTGTGGTTGACTACTGCTTCCTTGTGCATACAAACGGTATATGTTATGTAAATGTCCATCCAGTTTGCGTTTGAATGCATCTGTGGAGTTCGCCGTTACGACCTCGGGCAGTCCGTTCCAAGCACCGATGACTCGTTGTGAGAACGAATGTCTGCGGACATCCAGACGGGTAAAGGTTCCCCGGAGTTTGAGAGAATTCCCACGGAGGTTAGTTGATGGGGCGAACGTGAAGAAGTCGTCAAACTGAAGGTCACAGTCCCGATTCCTCACGATCTTGTATGTCTGTATGAGATCACCTCGGATTCGCCTGTACTCAAGAGGAAAAGGTTAAGTGCTTCTAGTCTACATTCGTAAGATGAGAACTTTAGGCCCTTCTCAATTTTTGTTGCCCTTCTTTGTACTCTTTCCATCAGCCATGGGCGCCACT